TTTTTTTTTCTTCTCTTCTCTTTCTTTCTTCCTCTGTCAGGTTCGACTCACCCTTTTCTTTCTTGCTGAAAATCGCTCTTCGCAGGAAATCGCTTTATGGGCAACATATGCCTAAGACATTTGCACTATGGACAGCAGTCCTTGATTTGCTGAGAACACTGGCGGACCGTGAACTTCTAAAAAAAAACGCAGTATTACAGGCCGTCTTGCACGGTTGGGGGTTGTACAGGTTTTAGCACGGGGCTAATTCCGACAGTTTCGATCCGGAAGCCTAAATCCGGTATTTGGGAACTTAGATCTGGAAACCCAAAGCTGGGTCCGAGAGTTTCGACCCGAAACCACTGTCCGAATCCGAAAGTTTCAGCCCGAAACCCGAGGTTTAACCCGAAACCGGCACTCGAATCCGAAAGTTTCAACCTGAAATTTAGACAGGTTTTAGCAGGAGCTAATTCCGACAGTTTCGACCCGGAAGCCAAAATCCGGGAATTTGGGAATTCGATCTGGAAACCCAAAGCTGGCTCCGATAGTTTCGACCCGAGTTTCGATCCGGAAGCCTAAATCTGGGACTTGGGAATTTCGATCTGGAAACCCAAAGCTGGGTCCGATAGTTTCGACCCGAAACCGGTGTCCGAATCCGAAAATTTCAACCCGAAACCCTAGGTTTCGACCCGGCATCCTAATCCGAAATTTTCGACACGGAAAACGAGTTTTGGAACCTTCCTGCGATCCGGAGAAGGCTGATTTGGCTTCCTGAATTTTGCTTATAAAAAGTGCATTTTGATCTGGGCCAAGTGCCCAGGTCGAGGCACCCCTCTTTCTTCGTTTGCGTCTGCTCAATCCGAAAGTTTCAACCTGAAACTAATACAGGTTTTAAAAGGGGGCTAATTCCGACAGTTTCGATCCGGAAGCCTAAATCCGGGACTTGGGAATTTCGATCTGGAAACCCAAAGCTGGGTCCGATAGTTTCGACCCGAAACCGGTGTCCGAATCCGAAAATTTCAACCCGAAACCCTAGGTTTCGACCCGGCATCCTAATCCGAAATTTTCGACACGGAAAACGAGTTTTGGAACCTTCCTGCGATCCGGAGAAGGAACGAGTTTTGGAACCTTCCTGCGATCCGGAGAAGGCGGATTTGGCTTACTGAATTTTGCTTATAAAAAATGCATTTTGATCAGGACCGGGTGCCCAGGGCGAGGCACCCCTCTTTCTTCGTTTGCGTCTGCTCAATCCGAAAGTTTCAACCTGAAACTAATACAGGTTTTAGCAGGGGGCTAATTCCGACAGTTTCGATCCGGAAGCCTAAATCCGGGACTTGGGAATTTCGATCTGGAAACCCAAAGCTGGGTCCGATAGTTTCGACCCGAAACCGGTGTCCGAATCCGAAAATTTCAACCTGAAACCCTAGGTTTCGACCCGGCATCCTAATCCGAAAGTTTCGGCACGGAAAACGAGTTTTGGAACCTTCCTGCGATCCGGAGAAGGCGGATTTGGCTTACTGAATTTTGCTTATAAAAAATGCACTTTGATCAGGGCCGGGTGCCCAGGGCGAGGCAACCCTCTTTCTTCGTTTGCGCCTGCTCCAAAGCACACAATTCGACCTGAAAACTGGTGCAGGCCGAGCCCAAAATGTAGATCAGACACCCAAACCCGGATCCGACAGTTTCGACCCGAAAAAGCATCCCAAGTTTCGACCCTGTAAGCACGGAGGGGGGTGCGGGGGATCGATCCGAGAATCCGATTCGGGTAATTATATACCTTTAATTTGGACTATAATCTCAAATCCAAACAACGGCGGTTTCGACCTCGAAAAATTGTTCAGGCATGACAAATTTGGATTTCCGCCTTTGAAACACGACTAGAATCCCAAATCCTAAAAATCAGATTTCGATGTGGAAATTGGTTTAGGCATGAAAAATTTGGTTTGGATTTCCGCCTTCTAAATACGACTAGAATCCCAATTCCGAAAAAATTGATTTCGATGTGGAAATTGGTTTAGGTGTGGAAAGTTTTGGTTTGGATTTCCGCCTTCTAAACACGACTAGAATCCCAAATCCTAAAAAACAGGTTTCGATGTGGAAATGGGTTTAGGCATGGAAAATTTTGGTTTGGATTTCTGCCTTCTAAATACGAGTATAATCCCAAATCCTAAAAAACAGGTTTCGACACGAAGTACAGAGACCCGAGGTTTTAGGGATACTATTATATTATAATATAGAATGTCGGTCATGTACATGGAGTCCGACATTCTCTCGGACGAATTCGGATTGAAAGTCCTGTCGTCCTCGGCCACCAAGTACTAGCGATGGCACGCACTGGAATCTATACGGAGTGTAGTATTGCACACTTGTGACGAATGTTCGACATGACACCGTACAAAGTGGTATACCAGCCGGGGTCACTCCTCTAACGCCTCAAGGCGTTAGAGAGACGTGCCGGTGAGTTTAGGGTTTAGGGTTTAGGGTTTAGGGTTTAGGGTTTAGGGTTTAGGGTTTAGGGTTTAGGGTTTAGGGTTTAGGGTTTATAGAAATTGTATAGGGTTCGGGGGTCGGAAAAAAACCCTTTTAAAACGGTTGCGAGAGCAGCCTCTTGGAAAAAGATTGAGAGAGCTGCTCTTGCAACCTTTTTAAAAGAGGTTTTCGAACCCCTTTTAAAACGGTTGCGAGAGCAGCCCCTTGGAAAAAAGGTTGAGAGAGCTGCTCTTGCAACCTTTTTAAAGAGGTTTTCGAACCCCTTTTAAAACGGTTGCGAGAGCAGCCCCTTGGAAAAAGGTTGAGAGGGCTGCTCTTGCAACCTTTTTAAAAGAGGTTTTCGAACCCCTTTTAAAACGGTTGCGAGAGCAGCCCCTTGGAAAAAGGTTGAGAGAGCTGCTCTTGCAACCTTTTTAAAAGAGGTTTTCGAACCACTTTTAAAACGGTTGCGAGAGCAGCCCCTTGGAAAAAGGTTGAGAGAGCTGCTCTTGCAACCTTTTTAAAAGAGGTTTTCGAACCCCTTTTAAAACGGTTGCGAGAGCAGCCCCTTGGAAAAAGGTTGAGAGAGCTGCTCTTGCAACCTTTTTAAAAGAGGTTTTCGAACCCCTTTTAAAACGGTTGCGAGAGCAGCCCCTTGGAAAAAGGTTGAGAGAGCTGCTCTTGCAACCTTTTTAAAAGAGGTTTTCGAACCACTTTTAAAACGGTTGCGAGAGCAGCCCCTTGGAAAAAGGTTGAGAGAGCTGCTCTTGCAACCATTTTAAAAGAGGTTTTCGAACCCCTTTTAAAACGGTTGCGAGAGCAGCCCCTTGGAAAAAGGTTGAGAGAGCTGCTCTTGCAACCTTTTTAAAAGAGGTTTTCGAACCCCTTTTAAAACGGTTGCGAGAGCAGCCCCTTGGAAAAAGGTTGAGAGAGCTGCTCTTGCAACCTTTTTAAAAGAGGTTTTCGAACCCCTTTTAAAACGGTTGCGAGAGCAGCCCCTTGGAAAAAGGTTGAGAGAGCTGCTCTTGCAACCTTTTTAAAAGAGGTTTTCGAACCCCTTTTAAAACGGTTGCGAGAGCAGCCCCTTGGAAAAAGGTTGAGAGAGCTGCTCTTGCAACCTTTTTAAAAGAGGTTTTCGAACCCCTTTTAAAACGGTTGCGAGAGCAGCCCCTTGGAAAAAGGTTGAGAGAGCTGCTCTTGCAACCTTTTTAAAAGAGGTTTTCGAACCCCTTTTAAAACGGTTGCGAGAGCAGCCCCTTGGAAAAAGGTTGAGAGAGCTGCTCTTGCAACCTTTTTAAAAGAGGTTTTCGAACCCCTTTTAAAACGGTTGCGAGAGCAGCCCCTTGGAAAAAGGTTGAGAGAGCTGCTCTTGCAACCTTTTTAAAAGAGGTTTTCGAACCCCTTTTAAAACGGTTGCGAGAGCAGCCCCTTGGAAAAAGGTTGAGAGAGCTGCTCTTGCAACCTTTTTAAAAGAGGTTTTCGAACCCCTTTTAAAACGGTTGCGAGAACAGCTCTCCCAAAATCGGAGGGGGTTGCTCTCGCAACCTTTTTAAAAGGTGTTTTAGAACCTGCCTTAATAGACATTGTATAGGGTTCAGGTAAGTTTTGCGTTTTGGTCTATGTTTTAAATCGACGCTACCGTTTCGGGGGGCGCTGCCCCCCGGGCCCCCCGCCAGGACTCCTCGCCTTGGACCCCGCCAGCAATCTTTAAATTTAGGGTTTATAGAAATTGTAGAGGGTTAGGGGGTCGGAAAAAAGCCCTTTTTAAACGGATCGCCCCTGCTGGACCGCGCCAGGGGGACACCCCCTGGTACCCCCGAATATTCAAGTCATAGATAGCACATTACAAATATGTTTTGGGGTGGCTGGTGACTGAAAGGGTGTGGGGGGCTGGGCTGGAAGGGGTTGGGGGGGGGGGGGGTGTCTGGGAGGCCTGAAACGAAGTCGCGAAGGTTAGAAGGTTCGTTCAGTTTAACTCGGATTGCTCTCTCGACAAATAACTTGTGTTCGATCCTTTTGGGGGCTCTGGGGACCTGTTGGGGCTTTTGGGCTTTTGCGAGTCGTGTTGAGACTTGTTTGGAGCTTTTGGGGCTTCTGGAGCCTTGCGGGGCCTTTCGCGACCTGAGGCCCAGCCTTTGAAGAAGATCGCCCGCAGGATCCATCCTTTTAAAAGGGCACTTGTTCTGGCAGCTCTTTTGAAGGACGCCTCTGTTTACAGATGAGGTGCTCTCCCTGTCATCCACCTGCTTCTGGCTAACACTTTAACGCAGAGTCGCGTCAACCGCTTAAAAGGCAGCCCTGCTCTGGCAACCCTTTTATGCTGCAGAAGCCAGGGTCGTGGCACATCTATTTTTCCTTCTCCGCGCTTGCCATTCGAACGCACTCTCACGTTTGGTGATGCACCCAGCAGTCGCTGAAACGACAAACATATCTGTCATGATGATTGCGTAGCTATCACTAGACTCCTGCAAACGTGCTGTTCGCCGACTGCTGGCTGTCTGCAAGCTTCAATCTGCACGAAGCTCAGACAATATGATTGGCTGGCTGCGAAATCACAAGCCATCAGCGTCGTCGGCCGGGGCCTCTGCGAGCGCCGCTGGCACTTCTGCCAATGACGCGCTGCTCTGAGGAGTCTCAGCAGATTCTTCGATGGCCTCTTCCACATCCACGCTGACCTCCTGGATCTTATGTTTTTCGGCAGGCTCCGGGGCGACGGCGGGCTCCGTGTCCATGCTCTTCTCTTGGATCGCGCGCTCCTTGGCGACGGTCGCGGTTGCGGGCTCAGCGGGCGCCTTGATGGCGGGCTCCACGGCTGTGCTGGGCCCCTGCGTCGGAGTTTTCTGGGCAAGTTCCTGGGTGGTGGTGGCGGCAGGCTCCTTTGTCAGGGGCTCCTCAACCGGCTCCTCTGCTACGGCAGCAGCAGGCTCCTTGGCGGGCTGCTCCGCTTTGGTGTCGAACTTTGCAAAGTAGCCTTCACGACTCGCCCACGCACAAAGCTCGTCATTGAATGGTGGGCCCATTGAGATGTCGCCCTCAACCCGCTTCATGAGCCATTTTCGCAAATCCTTGCGGCGCTTGCGGTTGACCTCCAGGATCTCTCGACAAGCAGGTGTCAGGCAATATCCACGGCCACGGCCCCTGATGGATTTGCCACATGTGGGGCAAAACTTGTGGAAGCTCCGCAGGAATGCATCCTCGATGAATGGATCTTGGTTTTGCAGCTGAGTATATTCAGAGAGCACGGCGTTGGCATAGGGGTCGCGATAGAAGCCGCCGTTCTTGCGGAAATTTGCCCAAAGCCAAAGCTGCGGGTTCTCCTTCGCGATTCGATCCCACGCTTGCCACTGAACACGGTGGGTTCTCTTTGCTATTGCAGTGTAGCGCTGCAGTTTGACGAGTTTGTTGCGACGCCAGGCCATTTTCTTCCACTGCGCCATCTTGCGGCGCCGCGTCTTGTGAGTCGGTTGCTTTGGGCAGGATTTGCGGACTAGATCTTGAGCATTGCCGCGCAAAGTTTCCACCTGGACTGCTGGCAAGCTGGTCAGCGAGCTGCGCTCGAAAGCCAAATCGAAAATAGGAGATTTCATCACTCGCCACTTCTTCAATGCCCGAACCACGAAGCCAAAGCCTTGAGGTGTTTGAAGAGTTGAACTCATGCTCTCCTCATTGCAGAAGATGCATTTGCCATTTTTCCGAGCTTGCGCGGAATGCCCGCGCCCGTCGAGCGCAAACCTGCATGGGCGCAGGCTGCCATCGGAACCCATGTTGTAGCCAGAACACCATCGAGGCATGGCTACGAGCGGCTGAGAGAAGCTACAGTTTCGTTGAATGAGCAGCTGAACTTGGCGCGCTGGACACATCTCAACACCCAGCAACTTGTACTAGGAATCCAAGCTCAGCAAGTGCACCCTAGCACAAGGTCTGTGGCTTCAGCAATTTGCGTCCTAGCGAGAGGTCTGGTGATACGGCGGGCTGGCAGTGAAACTCGCGACAGGCCGCGCCAGCTCAGCAATTGCACCACAGCTCTGCAGGCCGCGATGCTTCAAAACATGAAGCTCACGTACACAAGTGCAACAAGGTCTGAGCTCCGGACTCCTTCATATAGGTGGAACATCCTCCTGGACAGGTCTGAGCTCTGGAACCTTCATATAGGTGGAACGGTCTGAGCTCCGGACCCCTTCATATAGGTGGAACATCCTCCTGGGGACCCCTTCATTTAGGTGGAACATCCTCCTGGACAGGTCTGAGCTCTGGAACCCCTTCATATAGGTGGAACGGTCTGAGCTCCGGACCCCTTCGTATAGGTGGAACATCCTCCTGGACAGGTCTGGGCTCTGGAACCCCTTCATGTAGGTGGAACGGTCTGAGCTCCGGACCCCTTCATATAGGTGGAACATCCTCCTGGACAGGTCTGAGCTCTGGAACCCCTTCATATAGGTGGAACGGTCTGAGCTCCGGACTGCTTCATATAGGTGGAATATTTTCCTGGGCAGGTCTGAGCTCTGGAACCCCTTCATATAGGTGGAACGGTCTGAGCTCCGGACTCCTTCATATAGGTGGAACATCCTCCTGGGCAGGTCTGAGCTCTGGAATCCCTTCATAAGGTGGAACGGTCTGAGCTCCGGACCCCTTCATATAGGTGGAACATCCTTCTGGGCAGGTCTGAGCTCTGGAACCCCTTCATATAGGTGGAACGGTCTGAGCTCCGGACCCCTTCATATAGGTGGAACATTCTCCTGGGCAGGTCTGAGCTCTGGAACCCCTTCATATAGGTGGAACGGTGTGAGCTCCGGACCCCTTCATATAGGTGGAGTTGGTCATTTCCTGAGGCTGCGACCTTCATATAGGTGGAATTGGTCATTTCCTGAGGCTGGTACCTTCCTCAGGCTGGGACCTTCCTATAGGTGGAATTGGTCATTTCCTGAGGCTGGGACCTTCATATAGGTGGAGTTGGTCATTTCCTGAGGCTGGGACCTTCATATAGGTGGAATTGGTCGTTTCCTGGAATTGGTCATTTCCTCACACAGGTGGAACGGGTCACTCCCTGAGGCTGGGGTGTTCATATAAGTGGAATTGGTCATTTCCTGAGGCTGGGACCTTCATATAGGTGGAATTGGTCATTTCCTGAGGCTGGGACCTTCATATAGGTGGAATTGGTCATTTCCTGAGGCTGGGACCTTCATATAGGTGGAATTGGTCATTTCCTGAGGCTGGGACCTTCATATAGGTGGAATTGGTCATTTCCTGAGGCTGGGGCCTTCATATAGGTCATTCCCTGAGGTTGGGACGTTCATATAGGTGGAATTGGTCATTTCCTGAGGCTGGGGTGGACCATTCATCTAGGTGGAGGTCATTTCCTGAGGTGGGGCCTTCATATAGGTGGAATTGGTCATTTCCTGAGGCTGGGACCTTCATATAGGTGGAATTGGTCATTTCCTGAGGCTGGGACCTTCATATAGGTGGAACTGATCATTTCCTGAGGTTGGGACCTTCATATAGATGGAATTGGTCATTTCCTGAGGCTGGGACCTTCATATAGATGGAATTTGTCATTTCCTGAGGCTGGGACATTCATATAGGTGGAATTGGTCTTTTCCTGAGGCTGGTACCTTCATATAGGTGGAATTGGTCATTTCCTGAGGCTGGGACCTTCATATACGTGGAATTGGTCATTTCCTGAGGCTGGGACCTTCATATAGGTGGAGTTGGTCATTTCCTGAGGCTGGGACCTTCATATAGGTGGAATTGGTCATCTCCTGAGGCTGGGACCTTCATATAGGTGGAATTGGTCATTTCCTGAGGCTGGGACCTTCATATAGGTGGAATTGGTCATTTCCTGAGGCTGGGACCTTCATATAGGTGGAATTGGTCATTTCCTGAGGCTGGGACCTTCATATAGGTGGAATTGGTCATTTCCTGAGGCTGGGACCTTCATATAGGTGGAATTGGTCATTTCCTGAGGCTGGGACCTTCATATAGGTGGAATTGGTCATTTCCTGAGGCTGGGACCTTCATATAGGTGGAATTGGTCATTTCCTGCGGCTGGGACCTTCATATAGGTGGAATTGGTCATTTCCTGAGGCTAGGACCTTCATATAGGTGGAATTGGTCATTTCCTGAGGCTGGGACCTTCATATAGGTGGAATTGGTCATTTCCTGAGGCTGGGACTTTCATATAGGTGGAATTGGTCATTTCCTGAAGCTGGGACCTTCATATAAGTGGAATTGGTCATTTCCTGACGCTGGGGCCTTCATATAGGTGGAATTGGTCATTTCCTGAGGCTGGGACCTTCATATAGGTGGAGTTGGTCATTTCCTGAGGCTGGGACCTTCATATAGATGGAATTGGTCTTTTCCTGAGGCAGGTACCCTCATATAGGTGGAATTGGTCATTTCCTGAGGCTGGAACCTTCATATAGGTGGAATTGGTCATTCTCTGAGGCTGGGACCTTCATACAGGTGGAGTTGGTCATTTTCTGAGGCTGGGGCCTTCATATAGGTGGAATTGGTCATTTCCTGAGGCTGGGACCTTCATATAGGTGGAATAGGTGATTTCCTGAGGCTGGGGCCTTCATATAGGTGGAATTGGTCATTTCCTGAGGCTGGGGTTTTCATATAGGTGGCATTGGTCATCTCCTGAGGCTGGGACCTTCATATAGGTGGAATTGGTCATTTCCTGAGGCTGGGACCTTCATATAGGTGGAATTGGTCATTTCCTGAGGCTGGGACCTTCATATAGGTGGAGTTGGTCATTTCCTGAGGCTGGGGCCTTCATATAGGTGGAATTTGTCATGTCCTGGGGCTGGGACCTTCATATAGGTGAAGTTGATCATTTCCTGAGGGTGGGACCTTCATATAGATGGAATTGGTCATTTCCTGAGGCTGGGACCTTCATATAGGTGGAATTGGTCATGTCCTGAGGCTGCGACCTTCATATAGGTGGAATTGTTCATTTCCGGAGGCTGGGACCTTCATATAGGTGGAATTGGTCATTTCCTGAGGCTGGGACCTTCATTTAGGTGGAATTGGTCATTTCCTGAGGCTGGGACCTTCATATAGGTGGAATTGGTCATTTCCTGAGGCTGGGACCTTCATATAGGTGGAATTGGTCATTTCCTGAGGCTGGGACCTTCATATAGGTGGAATTTGGTCATTTCCTGAGGCTGGGACCTTCATATAGGTGGAATTGGTCATTTCCTGAGGCTGGGACCTTCACATAGGTGGAATTTGTCATTTCCTGAGGCTGGGACCTTCATATAGGTGGAATTGGTCATTTCCTGAGGCTGGGACCTTCATATAGGTGGAATTGGTCATTTTCTGAGGCTGGTACCTTCATATAGGTGGAATTGGTCATTTTCTGAGGCTGGGACTTTCATATAGGTGGAATTGGTCATTTCCTGAGGCTGGGACCTTCATATAGGTGGAATTGTTCATTTCCTGAGGCTGGGACCTTCACATAGGTGTAGTTGGTCCCATTTCCTGAGGCTGGGACCTGCATATAGGTTGAATTGGTCATTTCCTGAGGCTGGGACCTTCATATAGGTGGAATTTGTCATTTCCTGAGGCTGGGACCTTCATATAGGTGGAATAAGTGATTTCCTGAGGCTGGGGCCTTCATATAGGTGGAATTGGTCATTTCCTGAGGCTGGGACCTTCATATAGGTGGAATTGGTCATTTCCTGAGGCTGGGACCTTCATATAGGTGGCATTGGTCATTTCCTGAGGCTGGGACTTTAATATAGGTGGAATTGGTCATTTCCTGAGGCTGGGACCTTCACATAGGTGGAATTGGTCATTTCCTGAGGCTGGGACTTTCATATAGGTGGAATTGGTCATTTCCTGAAGCTGGGACCTTCATATAAGTGGAATTGGTCATTTCCTGACGCTGGGGCCTTCATATAGGTGGAATTGGTCATTTCCTGAGGCTGGGACCTTCATATAGGTGGAGTTGGTCATTTCCTGAGGCTGGTACCTTCATATAGGTGGAATTGGTCATTTTCTGAGGCTGGGACCTTCATATAGGTGGAATTGGTCATTTCCTGAGGCTGGGACCTTCATATAGGTGGAGTTGATCATTTCCTGAGGCTGGGGCCTTCATATAGGTGGAGTTGGTCATTTCCTGAGGCTGGGACCTTCATATAGATGGAATTGGTCATTTTATGAGGCTGGGACCTTCATATAGGTGGAATTGGTCATTTCCTGAGGCTGGGACTTTCATATAGGTGGAATTGGTCATTTCTCGAGGGCTGTGACCTTCATATAGGTGGAATTTGTCATTTCCTGAGGCTGGGGTTTTCATATAGGTGGAATTGGTCATTTCCTGAGGCTGGGACCTTCCTAGAGTTGAATTGGTCATTTCCCTGAGGCTGGGACTTCATATAATGGAATTGGTCCATTCCTGGGCTGGGACCTTCAGATAGATAGGTGGCAATTGGTCCCATTTCCTGAGGCTGGACCGTTCATATAGGTGGAATTTGGCATTTCCTGAGGCTGGGACCTTCATAAGGTGGAATTGGTCATTTTCCTGAGCTTGACCTTCATATAGTGGATTGGGTCATTCCTGAGGGCCTGCAACCTTCATAAGGTGGAATTGGTCATTTCCGGAGGTGAACTCATAAGGTGTACTTGGGTCATGTTCCGAGGCTGGGGCCTTCATATGTTGAAATGGTCATTTCTGAGGCCCTGGACCTTCATTTAGGTGAAATTTATATTGGTCATTTCCTGAGGCTGGGACCTTTATATAGGTGGGTCATTTCCTGAGGCTGGGACCTTCATATAGGTGGAATTGGTC